CACCCATTCTAGTATCATCGCCACAAAATGTTCACGTGTTAAAAAAACATTTCACGATCAAGGTACTTAGTACACGTTGCAACTTTTAAGGACATTCCGTCAAAATATAACAGATGAAACAGCCGTGACGTTTGAGGTCAAATGTCGTTCTTTGATAACGTTGGAAAGGTAAACACTTATTTTCGTAAATTCAATATTTCGACCCAAACGACAAAAGAGCACATTCTCCACACAGTTAATATGCCCAGTGTTGCTTGTTCAAGATCTGAAAGCTCCGCTACTAATTACCCCCCCCCCCTCTCTCCGAGTCTTCTAGATAATAAAAACAATACGAATATCATGGTGTTTGGCTGTCGAACTACATGTGAATTGCCTACTAGACAATGTGAGCAATACAACTACAGGTAAACAGAGTAACTGTTTGTAGTTCAGTAGCACCTAGCTTCGCGATACTAGTAGCTCGTTTTTGTAATTTTGTAAACACCACATCTTCAAGGAGTCGTTCAGAAATTCACCATAACACCACAACCGGCGAGATAACCCTTGCGACGAAGTACACCGAATCGGCGAATGAGACTTGCAGTCCCATAAAATAAACAGCTACGTGTGCACCGCCATTTTGGTACATGTATAGGACCGCACTTGGCAGTATGATGTCAGCCGTTCGAACTAAAAAAAAACTTCCAATTTTCGCTGGTTAGTACGCGTGATACTGTAAACACCTGAATGCTCAGGGGCTCGTCGCCCAACGAGAGCCTTCATTGATTGTGCGTGGTCTTTACGTGCGAAACGAACACACTATTGATAATGCATGCCGTTAAGTCATTACTTGAATGTATGCGGGCACGATTTGGCAATGAAGGACATTCCGAACGAACCGACAACGACATTACCTTTGCACGCCCGTGTGCTGGAACAAAAAGCGGTCGGAGTATAACGACAGGCTGAGAGTTCGAAACACGTTTGCGCCCTTACTCACCTTTGGGGCGTTCACTGTCGGTCACTCCATGTAAAGAATAACCTCCATTGTTGTATTCTATGAATCACTTTTGCTATTAACCATCTGCTTGTCGACAATATATGAATATTCATGAGAGTCTGCGTTGGCGTAACAAATGATACGTAACACAGTAAAATATCTGGTTTTCGGTTCAAAATAAATATAATGTATCTATTTACATTCGGTATGGCTCCATCGTCAACTGCACGTCAATAAAGTTGCATTATGTGTGTGGTGCCATTCTCTTACCAACTTATACGCTGTCAAATATAGAGACTGTCGATAGATAATGAGAATAAGATGAATTTTAAAAAGCCTAGATTTGTATATAATCGTCACTCGCTGAGTTAGGGGGCTTTGTTTGTCCTTGAATATCAGTTAACTTGTAGATATGTTTGTCTACAGGATAAGACCCACAAGTATTCTCAAAATTGAAGAGACGAGAAAATAAGAATAAAATATAATAAAAATTCTTTAGCTTTTTTGGAGTGATGTTTCACGTAATTGCAAAGTGGGAATGCAACACCAAATTTGAAGCTTGCCTTAAAGCGGGAGGGTCGTCATCTGCGCACGCGCGGGAATTGAGTCCCAAGCGACGATAACAACACACGCTAATAACGCTAAGGCTCATGTGTAGATGCGCTATGGCAATCTGACGCATGCGCAGGTGACGACTCCACCGCTTTAAAATCAAACAGATTTTTTAAAATAACAGAATGAATGCATGGAATGATTTACCAACAGTAAGCTATTTACACCTCGATCGATTGATTTACAAAGGAATGGACTGCGTTTTTACACGACAGAATTTGATAGGTCAAAAAACAAACAAAAAACACTCTGATTGGTTTGACGACAAGGCGCTAGGACGGTCAGCCAATCACACACAATCTTGTAAACATTTACACATTCTTCGGAGGGATTAGCAATGGTTACAAATTGTTTAAAAGGAATAAAAGGTTGAAAATACATTACAAACAAATAATATTAAAACTAAACTATTATACTATAAACAGATAGAAAACAAAATGCAAAACCTAACTGTGAAAGAAAATTATCACTGGGGTTGCTGTCTTATTTCAAATCACTTCTTTAGGTACCTTGCTACAGGGAGTGTTAGACCACTGTTGTTTAGCAAGGCCATGAATTGTGTCTTTGGTGAGAGACATTTCTTTCGGGGGTATACATTTTGCATGACATCATTTAGGCGATTTTTATTAATTTGACCTAATTGCTTTGCTGTTAGATTTCATTGTTGTCGACCAGTTTAGACTGGTTGATGTTATTCAAAAGGGACTCTATGTTAGTGTACCATTTATTTATTATTTTTTTGTTTTCTTGGAAATGTTGTTATAATAATGGATTTGACGAATATTTTGTTTTCTGTCCAAGTTCACCGTATAAGCCCATTGTTGTGGTGAAGATAATGTACATCTTCTATTGGTGATTTTAGTGCAATTTCATCTCCCCATACATCACTACCATATGTGAGAATTGGTATGATTAGTTTATCAAACAGAGAAAGTGACAGTGGTATAGTTAGATTTTTACCAGTTTTTCCCTTTTTTTAAAGCTTTTCTTTTTATGCTTTTTAGGCCTTACTTGAATTTCCCATTAGCGCTCACATCCGTACCAACAAAGTGTTTACATTGAATAATAGTATCCGATTGTATCGGAAATCTTGTCTCGTATCATCCAGCATGGAAGTTAGACTATATGCCGGGGATGATACTTACAGTTTACTTGTGTTTGAAATCTCGATAGCGCCCGATAATATCGATAAGTCTCGTCTAATATCGAAGTTAGACTGTTGTTACTACATTGATAGAGGATCACGTACATGTTGAGTTCCCATGTTGTATGTTAAGCAATGCATGCCTGTCGTATTCTTTATATAAAAATAAATATATAGATATTTTATTTGACAGAGAATTTAGTATGGATGAAAAAAACATACAATAAATCAATGGTGAAAAAAAAATAGACTCAACTAAAGCTTAGAAATAAAACAAATAAATTTTCCTAAGCAGTTGACAATGAAGCTATATTTAGTGCCTAGCAAGCACTTAAATTTCTCAAGATAACTTGTAAATGTTGTCATCATAAATTCATCATCAATAGACTGTTCATTTCATAGAGAACAAAACCTTTGCTCTGGAGGTGTTTTATTATATCTAAATTTTTCAATTGGCGACGAGTGAGAAGAAATGCAAAACTTAGTGAAACTGACTCTATGTTGAACATTTTTTATTTATTCTGAATATGGTTCAAATTCAAAATTTTGTTCAAACTTGTTATAAGTACGTGGCTTATTCTTTTCTGGTTTAAATACTTAACACTTAGAACAGATTTATAATAGTAAATTTGTTTGAATTTGGTTTTGAATTATAATAGTGTTAGATTCATCACCAATTTTAGTTAATGTGAATAATCTTTTAACAAATGCTGTCCAAGAATTACCGTTCATTTTATTGTCAGTATTGAAAGCACAGTCCAGAAGATGATTATTTTTTTATTATTAGCCTTTCATAATACTTCAACATTTGTGAACTAATGTCAATAATGAGAGGATATATGTATATACATGTTTCGGAATGTATTTCTGTTTCGTGTAATGCAACTTTGCAATGCTTTCCCACGACATGCGATTCAAGACCAGCCTGCGTTAATCATGTGATCATGTCAATGACTAGTACACTAATGACCACTAGATATGTTTATTACATTAGTATTCTTATTATATGCAGACAATACTAAGACATAAAACATTATTAATAGGGTTCAGGATTATATTGAATTACAGACAGATGGGTTTTTTTTTTCTGAGTGGCGAATTAATGTTTTAAAAATGTGGTATATCACTTTTACAAAAAACAGTTATTCAATATCAATATCAGCTGAAGCGTCGGCTAATTGGTAAAACGACGCAGATTAAGATCTCGGGGTCTTACTCACACCGGATACATATACATATACATTGCTACAATCTATAAACATGTCTATATACGATAACAACAGCGATTACAAGTATACATTGGAAACAACAGACTAAAATAATTCTGACTGCATTCTAAAATCGAGTTACGATGAATGAATTATACCCAATCTCTTTGATCACACAGAAATATTTTTATTTCTAAATCAATAAGCTCAACGCCACACACGTGTATTCAAGCCTTTTTTATCAGTACAGTGACACTGTATCATTTAATTTGAAACGACAGAGCAGAAACAATAATATAAAAATCGCATGTTTTATACCTTCTACGCCTGAATTTAACCACAATCAGAGAGTAGCACTATATTGTAAGCATGTCATGACTCATTTCAACACAACGACGAATATATTATTCATGAAGCTCGAAGAAGGTCACGTAGGTACACCGGCATAACAGTGTGTATATCTATTGTCCTTATATTCGCCATAGAAACGAGGCCAACTGCCAAGGAGCTATGTCAACAAATTAGGCACATGTCGGTCATGAGAACAGTCGACTCATTATGACATAGCGATGAACGTTACCTTGAACATGCACCGTGCCTGTTGGTATGGGAAGTAATTACATTCAAACATGGCATTACTTGCCGTGTGGTATTGATTACTGTACATACACAAATGAAGGGTATCTTACCTAAGTGTTCGACTAAATGTTCTTATACGTATGTAGCAAGCGATTACAGATTGTGATAAAAGTGGCCACTGCGCGTTTCTCTCATTATGTACACACTTCACTCGGTACCACTCGACGCTGTCCGCTTTGAACACGAGCGCTGACACCTATACTGCGCATGTCTGTCATTCAATATATACATTCAAGGTGTACCCTAAGTAATAATACAGACGGTCATTCACCAACTCATTCACGGACCTAATTTTTATGAAAAGAAAAATCCAACATCGCACGTTTTGAGGATGGTAAGGAAATAGCGGCTTGCTGGTTATTGTCATCACATCT